GACAGTATGTATATAGTGTTTGTTTTAACTACACACAACCTTAGTATCCCTACTATTCTAGGTTTCCACACAAAATAATTGATTGTTAGATATGTTATCCAAAAGTATTAGAGAGTCTACTTGAATAGATTTGAATATATAAAAAAATTACCAAGATTTTTAGCATGACTTCTTAGTTAATTGCAGATAATTTGAGAATGGAGAGATAGATATGTACATATAGAAAGAGGAGGAAGAGAGAGAGACAGAGAGAAGGAGAGGGAGAGGAGAGAAGGGTGGAAGGATTTCTCTTAAATAGTAAAAGAGCAGGTTGGGTAGGGAAACATTTGCCATAGAATTACAGAAACTGGGTAGGCTTCCAGATGGGAAGACTGCTGAATTTGAGGGGTAGAGGTAGGTAACCCCTCCTCAACCAGCCAGTTGCTTCTTCAGTATCTTCACAGGGGTTCTTGGTTGTCTCCCTGTGTTTGCCTCCTAGATACCATGGCCTCCAAACAATTTCTCTCCTCTTGTTAGCCAGCCAGCCATTATGTGGACAAACCATCCAAAGTCATCAACGTAATAAGAAAAAAGGTTTATTTTAGCTCATGGGCTCAGAGGTTTCCTCCCTTGATTATTGAGCCTGTTGCTTTGTGCCTGTGGCAGCACAGGACATTATAGTGGGAGTACATGATAGAAGAGATCATTTCACCTCATGGTGCCTGGTAAAACAAGGACAATTACAGAAGTAAGCGGGTTCCTCCCTTCTACTAGGCCAGTCTCCTAAAGAAACTACTACCTCCCCAGGGCTACCGGCTGGAGATCAAGCTTCCAACACATGAGCCTTTGGGGGAGATTCAAGAGCCAACTTACAGCACTTGAACATCTGTAGCAATCTTTGTGTTTATCAGTAGCATACTGGCTAAATAAAATCACCTAAACATCCACTCAGTGGGGTGTGCTAGAGCTATGAATGAATTCTGACAATGGAGATTACCTTTATTGATATGAAACATCTCAGCTACCTGCATTAAAGTACAATAAAATATGGAATATGATTAGACTACCCCTTGAAACAGGATAATTTGTGACAACTATGTGGTTCAGTATACCACACATACACTCTATAAAGACATTTTGCACACACATACTCACACACACATAGTGATGCATTGGTTTTGGTTTTTCTGAAAAAATATACAGAAAACTGATAGTGTGATCTCTCTAGAGAGAAGATGGAGCTTGTTTTTCAATGCCTTCCTTCATATTTTCCTTTAAATTTTCATAATTGTCAAGTATTCAGTCTATGATTAAGAAACAAAAGCAAACCTATATGTTTTAAGAGGATTAGGCAGAAAGACATACACACACACACACACACACACACACACAGAGTGGTCAAAAATCTCTCCCATTCCATAGAACCTTCTTTAGTTTGGTTTTCTCCAGGTCTCCTGGAGGAAGCTATGACTATGACTTTGCTTTTCTTACAGGTGATTAGGGGGCCCTTCTGGACGCTTTGGGGCTGCTGCTCTGCCTCTTCCCTTGTGCATGTCCCAGAAGCTTAGCATGGAGCAGACCATAATTGTTCACTCATAATTGGTGCCCAGGACTCTACATTTCACATGTGAACATAAGCCTGTGGGCAGAGGAGCCACATGCTTCTCATTTGAGCAGTAAAGCACCCTGTTACTCTGACCAAAGAGGAGACCAGGACACTTTTTTGAGTTTCCTGGTCCATTTGGTCAATTAGGTTGGAAGAACTCTAGGGCCATGCAGCCAGGCTGCCATTGTGCTAATCCCCAGATAGCCTTGATCTACTGGTAATGGTGGATGTGAAGATACCTGACCTTCCTTTGTGTTATACGTGTATGTTCTGTCTGTGTAACAATAACCCAGCCTGGCAGAGCTAGCATGGTAGACATGTTGGCTCTTGCCAGCACACAAGCAGGTCATCCTTAGTTTGTCTTCAAAGCCCTTTATTTTATTTGAAGTTCTTAGGATAGAACCCCCTTCCTTGTGCATGCTAAGAAAGTATTGTACCACTGAGCTACATCCCCAAACCAAGCTTTACTTTTAAGATGCACTACTGAGATTTGCTCAGAGAATCTAGTGGAATAGCAGGTGTATTTAGTCACGGGTTCAAATCCAGTTCAAACAGGAAGTGTAAACAAAGATATCCTAGAGTAATTTGGAGACATTTAAGAACACTGGGCCAGTGTAATTCCTCCCCACTGGTATCACTCATCCCATTCATATTGTTGGTCTTACTCAGGCCCTGTGAGCAGCCTGCTACTACAGGAAGTCAACTGCCAAGGAGATATGACAGCACTTATAGTAATCTGTTTTCTGTTGTTCATAACAAAATACCAAGTGCCTCAGCCTGGCCAAATTGTAAGGAAAAGCAGTTTTAATTCATTAGCATAAATTAATTATGCATATGGTTTTATTTTAATATTTAAGTGTAAGCATATAATGTTCTTTGATGAAGTTCATCATATATATATATATATATATATATATATACACACACACACACACACACACATATATTATTAGCCACTCTCCTTCCCTGTCTTTAATGATGTTAATTGGGTTTCATGTTTCATAATGCTACTTTTCATACATATGTGTCCTTTGATCATATTCACTCCATTGCCCTCTCCTTTGTCTACCTTTCTCCAGTAGACACCCTAATATAATCATTCTTCCCCTTTTTCCTCATCTTTGTCCTCCTCCTCCTACTTCTCATCCTCTCCTTTTGAGTGTTGAACATTTCCTCATGTTCTCTATTAGCCATTTGTACTTCTTTTTTAATCAATTTTGTTTGCCCATTTATTAATTGGACTAATTGCTCTTCTGATGTTTAAGGTTTTTCTTTTTTTATTTTATTTTTTAGTTTCTACACTCTGGATACTAATTCTTTGTCCAGTGAATAGCTTGTAAAGTTAATTTCAATCATTCTGTGGGTTCTCTTCCTTGTGGTAGTTGTTCAATTTCTTGTGCAGAAGCTTTTAATTTGATACAATCACATTTGTAATTCTTGATTCTTATTTCCTGAGCAGTTAAAAGTCCTATTCAGAAAATAACAGTCTATGCCTACATCTAGAATTTTCCCTATGTGTTCCTATAGTAGTTTCTAATTTTCAGATCTTACATTATGGTCTTCCATAATTGGAATTTATTTTGGGGCAGGGTGAGAGACAGAGATCTGGTTTCAGTTTTCTACATGTGGATATCTAGTTTTCCCAGTGCATTTCATTTTTCTCTAATGTATATTTTTAGCTTCTGTGTAAAAAAACCACATGGCTAGAGTGTATAAGTTCATCTCTGGATCTTCTATTCTGCTCTATTGTGCATATGTCTTCTTTTATTGTGCCTGTACCATGCTGCTTTTGTTACTATGGTTCTATTTATGGTTTATGGTATAATTTGGAGTCAGGTATTATTGTACTTCTAGCATTGCTTATTTTACTCAAGTTTTTTTGGGGGTGGTGCGGGGCAGGACTCTTTTATACTTCCACATAAATTTTTGGATGGATTTTTCTATTTCTATGTAGTAAGACATTGGGGTTTTTGTTTTTTGGGTTTTTTTTTTTTTTTTTGGTCCATTGTGAGGCTTGAACTCTGGGCCTGAGCGCTGTCCCTGTGCTCTTTGGCTCAAGGCAAGTACTCTACCACTTGAGCCACAGTGCCACTTCCAGTTTTTGAGTGGTTTGTTGGAGATAAGAGTCTCATGGACTTTCCTGCCTGGTCTGGCTTTGATCCTCAATCCTCAGATCTCAGTCTCCTGAGTAGCTAGGATTACAGGCGTGAGCCACTGGTGCCCAGCAACATGGGGGTTTTGATGGAGGACTTCTTTATTTCATTGTAGACGGCTTTCAATTTTGCCATTTCACAGTATATATTCTGTCAATTCATGAGCTTGAGAAGTCTTTCCATCTTCTGGTGCCTCTTTCAACTTGAAAAGAGTTTTATTTGGGCTCACAGTCTCCTGAAGTGCAACTATAGGTGACAATTTTAAAATATATTTTTGCTATGGAGCCCAGTATTATGGAAGGCCAGCCAGTTCCTGACAGTAGGAGAGGAAGATGCCTGTGCTGCCCCGATACAGAGGAATAGGGCTGAGGCTGATGGTGGCTACTATGGATGATCCACACTACACGATGATAGTGCTACTTAGTGAAGTTTTCATTACATCAATGGTGAAAAGACAATGAGCACTTGCTCGAAAACACAATTTGAATTTTGATAGATTTGAAAGATATTTTCCTGTCTTTCAAATCTGTCTATCCATATATATCGATAGTTAATAGTCGATGGTAATGCCCTTTTTTATAATTTGGGCACAATTCACAAACCTTTCTAATTACAGAGGTGATCCAAGCATTATAAAACTGTCATAGATTTCAAAAATCTATAAGAGGAAGCCATCATGACTTCTCATCATGAGTTGCCTCCCCCCCCCAAGGATATAAATACAGGGGGCACTTTCCCCTTAACTTTACCATATTTTTCATTAGCTCCATTGTTCTGTAAAGATGTTTCTCTAGAATTATGGTCTTCGGGTCCTGATATGGTCTAAAATTTTGTCCTCACTCGGATGTGGGAAACATGTCCTATGCTCCCCATCCTTGGTGGAGAGAGCCGTTTATGGAACATTATCTCAGTGTTTTTGTCTGAGTAGAAGGTAGGCTGATGATCCATAGTTGTTACAGAAGTGCATGTGCGTTGTACAGTGTTAATGACTGAAATCCATTGCCTAAATGGAACAGGTGAGAATCATTCGTTCTGAATTGCTGTTTAGGGAAAAGCATCTTAGTCAGGAAAGCAAGGGTAGTGTTTCTTCTAACTCTTTTGCCAACAGGTTACACCTTTTGTTGATTAGCTTCCCTTTCATGGCAGATTGTTAATTCTCATTTAAAATGGAAAAAAAGGAAATAAACAGGAAAGAAAAAAGCAATCAAAGAAGAATGGAAGAATTAGAAATGTCTCTCATGACTTTGTTGTTCTTCTTGTAGGACAAAGTGGGCCAGACACCTTCTCACCCAAAAGACACAGCAGGGCCTAGGATCCCGGCAAAATTTCACCACCTAGCACGTCATCCAGGTAAGGAATGAACATGGACTACAGTCCAAATCTATACAATTGGAACAAAGCTGACTTTATTTTATTCTTGGTATCCTGCGGGAGCATCCATGGTTTTGATAGAGTCCTAGGATCCCCTGGGACACAGAAAGCTGAGGACTCCCAAGTCCTTTATATAAAATGTCCTATTTGTATAGAACCTGTGTACATCTTTGCTCAATGACGTAGAATACCTAATACAATGTAAATGCTATGTGAATTCTTGTCATATTGCATCATTTAGGAAATAAGGACAAGAAAAACTGTATACATTTAGTGTAGATACAATCGTTTTTCAAGTATTTTTTTATTTAGATTTCCTTCAAATCCATGGTTGTAGTACCTGAGGATACCAAGGACCAACTTTATATTCTAAGGAATTGTTCTTAACCTAAAGAGAGAAATATCCTAACAGTGGATGGATTTTCTTTTCCTACTAAGGAACAGAAAATATAAGCCAGGTGTTGGTGGCTCATGCCTAGCCACTCAGGAGATCTGAGAAAGGCAATTAAAAGCGAGCCCAGGCAGCAATGTCCATGAGACTCTTCTCTCCAATTAACCACCAGAAAACTGGAAATGGAGTTAGTTGTGGCTTAAAGTGGTAGAGTGCTAGCCTTGAACAAAAGAGCTTGGGGATAATGCCCAGGCTCTGAGTTTAAGCCCCATGATTAATAAAGGAATGGCGGGGCGAGGGGCGGGGCGGGGGAGAGGGGGGAAACATATATATATAATGGGGTAGGGTTTTTGTATTGCTTTTCCACAGACTTCAGTGAGCCAAATGTTTAAATCTGTTTTATTTGCATTATCTGGGATTTGACTTGGTTACTTGATGTTATTTACTGAGGGCTCTTTCTCCACGTTGGAATCGTCTTCATCTTGGCTCTGTGTGTATGTGTTTATAATGGGGTGAGAACTCAGGGCCTTGCACTCTCAGCTTTTTCGCTCACCACTGGTGCTCTACCACTTGAGCTATGCCTCCAGTCTGACATTTTTCTGGTTAACTGGAAAAGGAATGTTAATGTCTTTTCTGCCCTAGCTAGCTTCAGACTACAATCATCCAAATCTCAGCTTCCTGAATATCTAGTATAGGCATATACCACTGGTGCTAGCCTCATCTTTAATATTATTATTATTATTAATGTTATTAGTCATGTTGGTTTTACATGTATATATTCTTGTTATTTTTTTCTTCCTTTTTTAATACCTTATGTTCTATGGGGAAGAAAGAAAAGGTACTAAGTAAGCACTGAAGTTGCTTAGTAAAGTTGATATAGCAAATAGAAACCTTGGTAGAGTATGATTATGACATGATAAAAGAAATATAGACACACACAAGTCCAGGTTCAATGCTGGTTGAAATTGGAATGGCCAGTTTCTAAGTTGCTCAATGAGAAGGAAAATGATAGCAAAGTAAAGTTGTGATCAACATGAAATCAAATAAACACTTTTTCAAGAAGTAGAAGATTCACGCCAGACACTGGTTAGCTCATGCATATAGTTTTAGATACTCAGTTTGAGTATCTAGAGGATCAAAGTTCAGAGCCAATCAGAGCAGAAAGGTTGGTGAGGCTTCATCATCATTTGACCAGCTTGACATATGGCTCAAGTTGTAGAACATCAGCCATGAACAAGAAAGGCAAAGAGCACAGGTCCCCCAAAATACCAAGCTGGAGGCATGTCTCAATTGGTAGAGTGACAGCCTAGCAAAACCCTGAGTGGTAAGACCCTGAGTTCAGCTTCCCTCCCTCACCCTTTCTCCTTGTATTGTTGTTGTAAAACAAAAAAAAAATTAGCTTCATGAAACCATTTAAAATTTTTCTGTGGCAAGCATGATTTCAAAGTTTCTCTTCAAAAATGAGATGATTTAAGATAACGAGTATTAATTTGTAAGGACTGGCTCTGGCTAAAACTTGGGACAATTTCAGCTTGTCATTTTATGTTGCTTACAGAGATGACTTCTAGAAACTGATGGAATCTAGAACTTGCTATACTGTTTGTGTAGAATCCCACATTCTCTCATCAGAAAATTAGAAAGAATTACACATAGAATTTTCCATGGTTCATCTCTTACATTTTTTTGTATCTTTTACATTAAACACAGATATTCCACAGATGGTAGACCTAACTAAAGTAGTATTGTGAACAGGGATTTGTGGGCCAGAACATGTGAGGAGGGTGGGGATGTCTGGGCTGCTGCACCATTTACCTCTGCTTACAGGGCATTACCTAGCTGCCCAGCTCAACGCTCATATGCACTCATGTGAAGAGAGTAGATTCTCACTTTTGCATAGAATCACACAGCATGGGGAAGGGGGGGAAGGAGAAAGATTGGGATTGGGGGGAGGGGGGAGGCTGGGAAGGGATGTGAAGGGTAAACAAAAGGAGGAGGCTGCAATGCTTGGTAAGAAATGTACACATTATCCTGCCCATGTAATTGTAACCCCTCTGTACAGTATCTTCACAAAAAAAAAAAAAAGAATCACACAGCATGAAGTCGAGCTGGGCCTCTTTTGTGTCCCAGCACCTACAACAGGGCTTAAAAAAGGAACAGGTCTCTGTCTTGAACCCACCTTCCACCTAGCAGTTTGGAGTGTCCCTACTTTGTAAGCATGCCGTGACACTCACCATCGGATAAGCTCAACCTGGCTTAGAACAATATTTCTACAGGGCAAGGAGAAGTACCCAAGCCTTCCAGGATTGTTAGTCCCCAATCAGCAACTGGTATCAAATAGCTTAGCAAATAGGGAGCAGTGGGATGAGACCCCGCCCTCTGTCCATGATGGGAGAGCTAGGCAAGAACCAGGTCCATTTCATCAAGTCAGGATTTGACTAGGCTTCCCCTGCTCTCAGAAGACGCTAAAGAACACTACTATACTGAACAAGGCACAGCTTTACAAGCAGAGCTGAACAGCATAGCAGTGTGACTCTTACTCTAGCTCTTAACTTCCCATGAGGCCATAAACAGCCTGGCTTGACTAGACTACCCCATGGGGAAGAGTAGGCAGAGAAGATGGCAGAAAAGACAGACAAAACAGCCCACCCCAAATCAGTCTACAAATTAACATTCCAAAGCACAGTAAGCAATCTCATATAGAAGATCCAGCTATTTAGACTATATGCAAACATGTGAGTCTGATGAAGGCTTTGAAATACAGTGCTCAAATTAACAAAAGCATAATGTATATAATCCTAGGTGAGACACAAAGGAAACACAACTAGAGGGAGCAAAGTAAGACTAGCTGGATATAAAAACAAGTACACTGGGAATTTGGGAAATGAAACATGTAGTTTATTGACATTTTTTAAAAAGTTAGTTTCCATTTAAGTGGGTTAAATATCTGGAAACCAGTTCTAAGAGAGTCACTTCACAATGGCACAGAGGTAGAGACACTAGAAAATAGGGGCAGCGATGCACCAAGGGTCCCAGGCTTCAGAGGAGGAAAGGCTGGAGGGGAAGCTCCCTTGCTTAGCTTTCTTAGACCTGGTGCTTTACCACTGGAGCCATGCTTCTAGCCTTGCTATTTTTTTAAACAAAGAAAATATATTACCTGCAAGTTTTACTAAAAGGGGTGATTTAGAACTGAGGGTGTAGCCTAGTGGTAGAGTGTTTTCCTGGCAAGCTATAGGCTCAAGGTTCAACCCTCAACACCGAATGAATGAATAAAAATAATTGAAAGTGGTGGAAAAAAATGTCAATATTGAGGGAAACGTGCTATGCAAAGAATAGTGAATGTAATAGAAACGATGTAATTCTGTATCATCAGATACTGGAAATGTGTGTGTCTTCTGGGAGTGTAGGATACCCAGTGAGTGACTAAACCTCAAGTAGATTCAAGGTAAATTATGGAAAAACTGAAAATCACTTAGAGGAAAGGACTATTTAATTATATGTTTTAAAATACATAAGATGCAACTGAAATATTGACTGTAATTGCTAAAAGAACAACTTACCCTCTATAGTGTCTAACCTAACAGGGAGGAAACATACAAGGGAATTCTTTTTTAAATTCAGTTGCAAGTACAGAAAGAAAAAGGATCATGTAAAAGAAAAAAACATAATCAAGCAGAAACTACATCAAGATAGTAGGGTTAGTAATTCCAGACACGCTTAGGACAATATTAATAGGTTTACATTATAGATCTGCGTAGACCCCTGCTCCAACAGACAGACTCTAGATTCTTGCCTAAACATGTGTGACTTTTTGAAAAGTTGACCATATATGGGAAGTTGCACTGAAAATTTAAGCAATCTGTTTCATGCAAGCCACGTTCTTTGACCTAGTGTGATTAAATAAGACATGAACACAAAATGTTCAAAACATAAACATGTTTATTCACACTTCAGAGTACATCCTTATTTCACCCATGGGTTAAAGAGGAAAATCACAGTGGAAACACCAGTCATTTAGACCTGAAGGAAAAGGAAGATATTAATACTAGAAAGCTGCGTAGTATTCCTAAGGGGGTTGTTTTAGACTAAACTTCTAAGCCTCAAAAAGAGAAAAATTGAAATTAGAAAAAGTAAATTGAATAAGTCTAAGCCATGCAGAAGGAAGGAATTACAAAAATTAAAATAAGAAATTACTGAAATAATGAGACTATCAATTGTCAGGGACAAAAACCAAAGCTGATCTTTTGTGAAAATCACCATAACAAAGTAACACACCAATAAATCAAATTCAGCAGTTTATCTTTAATAAAACATAAAATAAAGGTTACAAGTTCTGTTTATTACAATTAATGTAAAGGTTGACTATCATCATAAGTAGAACAATTAAACATATTAAAATATTTTAAAAAACAGTATATATGAAAAGTGTTTGATTCACTTTCTTACTCATTGTAGTATAAAACAAACAGCGACAATAATAACAAAACTCTATTACCTAACATGTAGGGAATAAAGAGACTTAGAATGTTAAAATTAATTTGCCCAATGCCTGCAGCATACATCATATATAGTGGGGAAACATTAGTCATGC